CAGACAATCCTTACAGCTGGACATGTAATCAAACACAAAGAACACCTTAGATACTTTTAACAATAAAAAACTTCAAACCATAAAAATGGTCTTAGTTCTGTACTTTGTGTTGCTCTGATTGTTGTTGGATCATGACAGACTGACTCTTAAWATTTCCTTCTCCTCAGCGCTCGTACTCAGGTGAGAACACAGCGAGCGCCATCGCTCGCTCCTGCGCCAGCCTGGCCTTGTCCCTGTTGGTCCCCGTCTTGGTGGTCTGGCAGAGGGACGGTCTGGTCCAGGTCCTCACGACACTGAAGGCCGGCCTGCCGGGCTCTCCTACGGTCGACGACTCCCAGGCTGTCCAGTTCCATTCAGGCCTCGCCCTCGGCATGGTGCTGTCCTGCCTGCAACAGCAGCGCCTCAGGTACAGGGTCTGCTGGGGGGGGTTCTGATGCACCCGCCTGCAGGTCCTCATCAGTTTCTGTCTTTACTCAGTGACGTCTCAGCTCAGAAGGACTCTGAGCTCCTGTTCAGTTCTCTAGAAGCTCTGGAGAGTTGTTCCTTCAACCCCAGCCTGGAGTACAAGTGAGTGGTGTTTGTGCAGATGTAGACTGAAAGACCATCAGGCTGTTAGTTTAAAACTTAGGCAGGTGAGGCGGCAGGTGATAAGCATGGATTAAATGATTAAATGTTTGACAGCAGTGCTGAGTTTTTAAACCACATTTATAATCACACAGCTCATCTGCTGAGAATTCTGCTCTTTTCTCCCGTTCCTCAGCACGGGYTGTGTGTTGGGTCTGGGTCTGGTTCTCTCAGCCCTCTGCAGTAGTGGGCAGGTGGATCACCATGTTCACGTCAGTCTAACCCTCGACAAGCTTCTGAACAACCTGCAGGACAGCGGCGGGCGTGGACGCATGCTGCAGGAGGTACCACAGTGATGAGTGTTGCTCCTTTACATCCTTTRGTTTCTGCCTAAATAATCATGTCCTGTGAAACTGATGGAWAGTAAAGGTTTTTAAAATTCTGTTTGCATGAAAGTGTGTCTGTCACTGCTAAAGGATTTATAGTTTTCTGCTGCTAAATAAGCTCTCTGTAGGATAAAKGTTCTGTTGACAGTTCTTCAGTGTTTTCTTGCTAAAAGAGTCTAAACGATGTTACTGCCTAAGCTGATTTACATTTTCATTATTTACTTCACCTGATCCCCTAAATGACCCCTGCAGTAGCACTACAGAGCATTGTGGGTAATGTATGAGAT